ATCTAGAACTTGGGATGTCATTGAAGATGTTGTAAAGTTTTTACAAAAATTTTATGTGGCTACACTTGAGTTTTCTGGAGCTTATTATCCTACTATTGCAAATGGTTTAGTTCATATTGCTGAAATTTCTCTTTTACTACATAATTTGAAGAAGAAAGAAGGATATACTTTTGTTGTTGAATCTATGCTAGATAAGTTTAAAAAATATTTTTATCCAATTCCCCCTATTTACCTGATTGGTGCTATTTTAAACCCTTCTATCAAAATGGCCACTTGTCGCCAATTAATCACTGCTTTTTATTATTATATGGATATTGGACCAACTGAAACTCCTGATATTGACACTTATATTTCTGATTTACACAAACATTTAGAAACATTATATAATTACTATGCTAACATTGTTGATGCTTCTTCTGCGGTAATGCAAATATTCCTTCAAGTTCAGTTTCAATATCTGGGACCAGTGCTTTGGATGATAATGATGGTGTTGAAGATTATTTGATTTGGTCTACAATATGGGAGCATTAACAAACCAGTAGCAGGAATATTGATGAACTTCAATTCTACTTGCAAAAGTCAGCAAAGCCCCGCACAAAGGAATTTCTACCACTGGGTTGGTGGAGGAGCAATTCAAATCAATTTCCTGTTCTTTCGGCCATGGCTCGAGACGTGCTAAATGTGTCAATTTCAACAGTCGCATCAGAGAGCGCATTTAGCCAAGCAAGGCAGGAACTAGGAGATACCCGTCATTCATTGGGTAGCAACGCTTTGGAAATTCTAGTGTGCTTCAGAGATTGGATAAGATCAGAACAACGAAATCAAGGGCATGACGAGGTAGATGAAGCGGAGGACCAAGAAATTGGAGATATAATGATTTATGGTTCTGATTCAACCAATGCCGGAAATCAAGAACCTCATGTTGACATGGATGAACTTACAAAAATAATGCAAAATATGTGATGTACTATTTATTTTTTATAATTGTTGTAAACTTGTAATTTGCAAGTTCAAAAATAACAAAATCAAAAAAGAACTTGCAACTTAATTTGAAGTATTATATATTATTCAATAAAAATATCAAATGAAAGTCTTCGGAGCTTGATCCTTACATATAGGTCTTATTAAATAACTTTTTGTAGCCACTTACTTTCAAATTTTAATTTTAACATTATAAAATTTAAAATTTTAAACTTCAAAATTTAATTCTAAGCCTTAAAAGTTTGCAAACACTTAAGTATCAATAACATTGAATAAGAAAAATAAAATTTACTTTAAAAAAAAAAAAATCACGGTCCGCTAACAACCCGCTAAGCCTGAACCCAGACGGACAAAAAAAAACCCGAAAAAGTACAGCCCGCTAACAGCCCGCAACGTTAAACGGACGGGCTAATTTTTTTTGTGTCCAGCCCGTCCTAGCCCGCCCGTTAAACACCCTTAGTTAAGATGCAGGAAGCGAGGCTTAGATGGCTAGGGCACGTTCAGAGGAGAAGCCCAGATGTACCGGTGAGGAGGTGTGAGCGGCTGGCTTTGGAAGGCACAAGAAGAGGTAGAGAGCGGCCTAAGAAGTATTGAGGAGAGGTGATCAGGCAGGACATGGCGTGGCTTCATATTTCCGGGGACATGGCCCTTGATAGAAAGCTCTGAAGGTCGAGTATTAGGGTTGTAGGGTAGGAGGTAATTGCACCTATTTCTGCTTAGTAAATATGTGAGGCTAGTCGGATACGATTTTTATCTTAGACTGCTAGTAGTTAATGATGTGTTCTCACTATTTTTTTATTTTTCATAGTGTCGGGTCTATTTACTGGTTATTGCTATTGTTTTCATATATTTTCTATTTTTTATGCTGTTATTATTGCTTTGGTTTCTGTTGATGATATAGATATTGTGTCTCTTTTCTCTTTTTGTCTTCTTGAGGCGAGGGATTTTCGAAAACAGCCTCTTTATTCCTTCGGGTTAGGGGTAAGGTCCGCGTACACACTACTTTTCTCATACCCCACTAGTGAAATTTTACTGGATCATTATTGTAGCATTCGATTCTTTTTATAGGATTGTCCATTTTATTTTTTGGATCCAATCAATTGCCTAAAAATATTATTTCAATTATTAGATTATCTTATTACTAGGACTTAGTGGTCTCTTTGTCAGGAGAAGTGGTCCAATCACCATTAGATCTCTCACTGAACTTCACAAAAAAATTGTATATCTTGATCAGATAAGACAAAATAGAATAGAGTATTATGACATTGTAGCAGCAATAAGTGTAAATTATCTACTTTCAACACTGTAAAGATCTTTATAAAAAATAAAGGTGTAGAGATACATAAACGAAAAGCATTTTAATTACAAAACAGAAATTTTGTTTACAAGTTACAAATGACCTTTGATTCTTGGCAACGACCAAAAGAATTTCCCCCAATAATAAACAAAGATAATTTGAATATACAGTTATCTGATTTTGATAATGTTAAAGAACTTATGGCCTGTGGAACCTTTTGCTGTCACCACACCCCATAATAGAAGTAGGCAATTTTCCAACCTTCTCAATCCCTTCTTCAAAAACAACTCCCATTCCCATGAAGAAATGTGACTCAATATGGCAATGAAAGGCCCAAACTCCTGGATTATCGGCCCGAAACCGCAGTGCAGTCCATCCATAAGGATGGACTGGGATTGTGTTCTTCATAATTGGGTTCACAAGGTTGTAATTCTTTGGGTCAATAGATTGGTTAAATTTGCCATTACCATAGCCCATGACCCAAAAGTCATGCCCATGTAAATGCCAAGGATGTGTCTCACTGTTATTGGGATTCATTGTGTTGGCATTTTGCAAAATGATGTCCACTGTTGTGTTGAATTTCAACCTGTAAATTGAGTTGCTAGTTGTGGCATTCACATTCGGCTGGACAATGGAAATGTCGTAATTCTCGTGGTTATAGTTGTCCGGTGGAGGGGTTTGCTCGAAAGTATGCAATAAGTTGTGCTTAAGGGCGATCAAATAAGGCGTATGGGGCATGTTGAATGATACATTATTGACAGACCAACGCACGAAACCATTAACCCTGTTTTGGGTATTAAGCATGACGATGACCCTGTCCGATGTTTTAGGAGGAGCGTGAATGAAATCCTTGTGGGATTTGATTGCAACACTCTGAGCCACCCTCGGGGCAACGTCGTTCCAATGGGGCCCCGGGGGTGGTACAGTAGGAGGGGTTCTCCTAGGATGGTTTGGGTAGTAATTAATAATGCCCAAACCATTAGGAGTGGAACTATTCCTGCTAACAATTTTGGTACTTGCCCAATAATTTCTTGAAGGATCTTGATCTGCTTTGATTATGACTGAGTATGTTTCTCCAGAATAAATGAAGAGTTTTTGTACCACAAATGGCTCTACATAGTGACCATCTGCCTCTACAACTGTCATATTATGCCCCTGCAATGCAAAATTCCATTAGTAACAAACTAATTTTATTTTTTAATTTTTTGAGTTGTTGATAGAGGGGAATTGTGATTTGTGAGAAAATTACCTCAATTTCAAAACTTAGAGCAGAAAGAGCAGTCAAGCTGCCAATTCTAAGCCTATAAGTCTTGCCAGGAATAACAATCATTGAATAAGGTGAACATTGAGGATTTGTAGCATTGCAAAGAGTAACATCTGTGTCTGGAGTAGAACAATTGAACCTTCCTCTTCCATGAATCAAGAGTGACTGAAACAGAAAAAGAAAATAATATTAGAAACATTATCAGAAAAATAGAGCAAAACATTATTGAATGTTACATAATTACCTGAGGTTCTCCAACCCAAACAAAAGGTAAAGAAGCAAGACCAGTAGCTTGTTCATAAGTACTCTTATGGTACCAATCAGTGAGAAGAATGTTTCTATCATAGTCATATGGAAATGGCTCTACAACTCCATTTGGAACTAATACTTTGATCATTCCTTGTAATCCTGCTTGTCTTTGCATACCATAATGAGCATGGTACAAATATGTTCCAGGCTGCACAAAATTTGCAAAAAAATTACTTAGAAAACTGATCTCACAATATATAATTCCATACTTAAAAATAAAATAAATTAACTTACCCTATCAACAACAAATTTGTAAACAAAAGTATCCCCTGGAACAACTGGACATTGTGTGATTCCTTCTGTTCCATCAGCCCATGGTGTTCCAATCTGCAATGAATATATAAAAGAGCTTTTTACATAAATATTGTTTGTTTTTCTTAATCGGTATACATATATTATGCCTTGATTATACATAGTTATGCATATATTATACATGAATAATACTTATATTACACATCCGCCCGCTATTTTTAGTTTAAACGGTTGGATGGACGGCTATTTAGGTTAATTTTTTTATATAAAAATTATTGTTTATTGATAAAACACTTAATAAAAAAATCAAAAGAAAATTGGATATTTACCTGTCTAATACCATGCCAATGGATAGCAAGATTTTCAGTTAACAAGCTATTTTTGACTTCAACAACAATAGTGTCACCTTGTTGAGCAACAATAGTAGGACCTGGAGTTTTACCATTGATGCTAATGGAAAGCTTCTTGAAACAATCTGGGGATTTGTATTCATATTTAACCTCCCATTTATGATGTCGAACTCGAGCTTCAACTGAAACAGCAGTTAAAATTAACAAGCATAGTACCAGAAAGTTTACCAAATGGCCTAGATGAAAATGCTCAACCATTGTGGATGAGCTTGAAAACAATTTGAACTAAGGTTTTAAAAGAAGCAAACAAGAGAGATCTTTGTTCTGTTCTTCTTCTTTTTTTATGTTGATGATTTGCTGCTAAATATGTTGTGTAGTGTGTATCTATATATAGTTTCTTAATAGACTGGTCAATCAAAAATGGCAGCTTCTCTGACCAAGAGAACGTGGGAGTGAGCGATACTCGTTTTCTTCATTCTTGTTTTTGTCTTTTTTTAGTTGGGGGGTGGGGGGAGGGGGGGCTTGGATGAAGGGGCTAAGGGAGATATTTATTTTAATTTAAGGTCTTTGCTAATTGCAAATGTTGGAAATTTTCTTGGGTTATGGAAAGAAAGAGCAGTGAAGTTTCATTTGATTAAAAAAGTTCTAGTGGGACTGTGACATTTCGTTGAAGACATTTGACTTTTGTTAAGCTTAGGGCACATCAAATTCTCTTTTTTCCTTCTCTTTTAATAAAATGACTGTAATTTTGCACGAATAAACTCACTCACCTTATTGGTTTTAAGCTCAAACAAAGAACAGCTGTTGCTGTAGGCTGGCAATCAACTTAAAATTAGTTAATTTATGTCAAATTTTCACAATATAGAATATATGATTAGGATGTTGGGATTTTAAGCTTGTGTAGCTTAAAGATGGTGAATGAGAAATGGAGGAAAAATGAAATATTTGAGTTTCCCTTGGCAAAGGGACATTATCCCATATCGGAGGAAGAAAAGGCTTTTGATGAGTATATATATAATTGCTCTTCTTCTACCTCTTAAAGAGTTAAGAAGAAGGCAAGCCTCGCGCCGTCGTCGTCGTTCGCTCGGCTTCGGCTTCGGATTTTTCCTTTCAATTATTTAATTAATTAATTAAATAATTAATGAAAAATTCAATCCGGAATAAACCTATTCCAACAGCCATGGTTGTTTCTGAAAGGTTGCAAACTTTTTCAGAAACAATGCCAGCAACTCTATAAATAGAGTTTGAATCGCAGAATCTTTCCTTACGAAATTTTCTGAGCTTCTTCTTCTTCTTCTTCTTCTTCTGCACAAAAAAATTCCACTGTGTTTTACAGCCTTCGAGTGGCTCACTGTTCACCGGTGTTTTGGTACCAACACTCTGGTGAGTTAAATCGTTCTATCCTGGGAGGATATATTCCAGCACCTAGGGTACTTGAGGAGAATAATTTCCTTAAGGACACACTGTGTATTCATTGGGCTCGATTTATTCCTATACTGTTTTTTCCAGAATTTATTTAGTTAAACAAGTATTACTAACTTTCTGTTTTATTTTTTCACAAAGTTTAATTATTTATTACAGCAATACAGAATTATAACATAGGACATGCTCACCTAAGTTTGTGCTATACATTGCATCTCAACATACTTGGGACTAATTAAGACGTAGTAATTATTATTGTTATTTAAAAAAATGACTATGGTTTTCCTTTTGTGATCTTTACACAAATAGCTGGCTATATTCATTGTTTACTTTTTCTAATCATATACATAGTTTATATATTGATTATACACAATTTTATATATATATATATATATATATATATATATATAATACATAAATTATATATATATATTATACTTTCATCGGCTATTTTTAGTTTAAGCTATTGGATGAGTGACTATTTGGGTTAATTCTTCTTTCCTTTTCCATTGTATATATGCCAATCCTTTCTATAGTAGTTAGCTCATGTGGAGTTAGTTAGAAAGACTCCTTGTCTGTTGCTCCCTTTAGTTTATTTTTACTCGTCGGCTATATTAAAAATATGTGTTTACCTTTATTTATTCATTTTAGCAAATAAAAAAAAAATTTGTTTTACCTTTATCATTAATTACTCATTTCTCAAATCATTATCTAAGACCTTTTGAAATGATATCATTATTATAGATAAAATTGCAAAATATATACTTCCTTTATTTTTTTTAAAGAGAGTGCAAAATCAAAAATAGACATTTAAAATTTAACGAAATGAGTATTTGGTAAGAAAAATCTCATAGGATAAAAAAATATTGCGGTTTAATTTTTAACACAAAAATTATTTTAAAAAGGTAAAAAATCATGTTTTTAAAAGCTAGCTAAAGGTTTTAAATAGTGGAAAGAGAGTAACTTTATAAAAACGAAAATGATGGGGCTGAATTATTCGTCTTGACCGCAACTTATGATCCTGTGATTATGCGTGAATGAAGTTGTTTGTGACTTTGTAAACCTTCAATTATTATTTATTTTCCTATTTGCAACTTTTGAATGAAGCATAGCAGAGAGCACATGGGGGGTCGAGAATTGTAAATTGATTTAAAAGGAAGATTTCCATATGAAACCGCGTTATCAAAGTCACCACATATACAGAACGTAAAGGATATCTTTTGTATATTATTTCTAAAATTATGGCCTAAAAAGTAAATATTTTATTCATGTCCACGAGATGTAAACTAAGATCCACCTAAGGAATGTAGCTTTTTCTTTTTTCCTTTTGGTCGTTGGTCCCTGATCTTTACCTTTTTTATATTCGTAGTGACGACAAAACAGGATTTGATCCTTACATTTTGTACTTATTAACTGAAATTAACGTGGGAAAAGAAAAAGAGCAGAATTTTAAGGTTTAGCCAGTGGAGGATTATTCTCCATCAACATTTTTTGGTGAAAACAATTAATTCGAAACTTTTTTTTTTCATTAATTCTATTTGCGGATTACTTACACTTAGATCTCTGTTATTACCGATTGTATCTCTTGATTCAGTTATCTTATTATTATGATGTTGTTATAGATTCTTGTTACGTATTTTTTTTTACTATATTTCTTTTCAACTATGTCGTGGATATACTTTTTCTGAGCCGAAGGTTTATCGAAAACAGACTCTCTACTTCCACAAAGTATTGGTAAAATCAGGGGCGGATTTATAGCCCATTATATGGAACATGTGAACCCATGATCTCTCCACCAAAGTAGGTATTTTGTATACATATTTTCTAGAGTTGATCTAATATTATTAGCCGACACTCATGTTCCAAAGAGGCTAAATGATGCACTTGGTTGAATGTTGAGCTATTTACGTAGAGGAGCAGGGATCAATTCCCACTTAATATATACTTTCTTTTTTCTCCTTTCTTTAGTGGTACACCATGTTATCAAAATTCTAGATCCGCTTATGGGTAAAGTCTGCATACATAGTATCCTCCCCAAACCCTACTTGTGAGTTACACTAGATTTGTTATTGTTTTTATTATTATATCTTCTATTTTAAGCTATCAATACCACCAAAACTTATTGTTTATTGGTTTGGATAAAAGTTTATCATACAATAACATAAAAATAGCACGGGCCAGTTAGTTTTCGAACTGGTAATTAAAAAATAGCTAGCATTTGTGAAGTCATTGAAAAATAGTCATTGTTTTGCTGAAACACGAAAAGTTCCAGCAAAATATGCTGGATTTTGGAGCTCCTGCGTATAAACTTCCAGCATATTGTGTTGGAACTCCAGCACACGAAAAGTTCCAACATAATATGCGAGATTATGGATCTCCTGCATATAAACGTCCAATTTATTATGATGAAAGTTCAGCACATTATAAAATTCCAGCATATTATGTTGAAAGCTCATATATAAAAACAAATTAAATTTCAGCATATTATACTAGAATATTTTTGAATTTTTAAGGGTGTTTTTGTTTAGATTTTATTTTTACATAAAAAATGGCTAAATTTTGATTACTGTTGAAACTGCGGTTATTTTTCAATTACCAGTCGTATAATGATGGTTATTTGTGATTTTTACCCCACAGTAACTATGGTTCGATTTTCACGAGCTCTCTTCCTCTTCCGTCGTGTAATATAAAATAAAGAAGTTATCTTTGAACATTTTTGGGCCTACAATTTGGAAGTCAACTCAACAGTCTAATTTTGATGGAATTATGCAGTTCATTCAGATATTAAATATTAAATGATTTACTTAATAACCAAAGCTAGATATTGGATTTTAAATAGGTGATTGTGCAAATCTACGTGTCTGCGTTTTTTATATCATTAGGGATATTAGTTAACAACCTAATTGACGTTTTTTAAATCCAATAACACCCTTCATCCAAAATAACTTTTCTCGTCCAGTTCATCCAAATTTGCTCTATGCTGACAAATGTTATCTATCTATTTTCTTTCTCTAGACATTCAAGCTTTTAGCATGTTCTATTTCTATTCATATTTTTGGAAGGGGTCAATGTTATCCTGCAATTATGATTCTCCAAAAAAAGGAAAATGCGATATGTTGGAGATCTTCAAAGATTATGAATATCTTCCCCTGTGATCATATTATAACGGAAAAAACGAAACTATGAAAATCGTCGTATACATCTTTTTGATGCTAAGAATATATTATGATCTGAACAATTCACCGTTCAGCTGTGTTTTTCTTGCTACTTTTTGTTTTACTTATTCATGGTCACATCTCACATGTTATTTTCTAACGTCATTTAAATCAACATGCACATGGTTTGAAAAACCCTTCCTTTGTAATCGATTAGATGGTTCGCTATACACATTTTTGTCTCATTCTTTCTTGAATATGCTTGGTAATTTCCCCCGGAAAATAATCATTATGACTGGATTGGTTAAGCTAATTCTTTTAATATTGAAAATCACATTGGTTACAACCTTAATAGTTAACAAAGAACAATAGACGTTGAAATATATCAATATATCTACAATATAACGCACACGCTCCATTTATTTTATCCTAGTTTATTAGTTATTCGTTACAAAGAAAACTCGATCCGTAAATACCTAAACGCATGTTTTTTAAATTAATATATAGAATGGTTGTTGACCATGTACTATAAAGTATCAAGCCTCAGAATATATGTAATATATTGTATAGCATGCACAGGTAGAGATTTGGATTTTTGTGGATCATCGGACAAGTTACGTTCTTGTTGTAATTGAAAATTAATATGCCTAATTTAGAACTATGTGTTTACCGGAAAAATCGGATAACGTTAGATTTGTGGATGGTTCTAAGGATATGCGATACAATTTGATATAAATCGCGTAGAGAAATGAAAATATGTGTACTGTTGACTGTAAGAACGAAAATAATAAGCAAA